CCCCCTGGGGGGTGATTTCTCGCTTTCTGTCTCTATGTCTCTCTCTGTCTGTCTGGCGAGCGCACGCGCCCTACAGTGAAAATCTCTCCAAAAAATGAAAATAAAAATATAAATAAATAAATAAATAAATAAGAATAGATTAAATAGGTATAGGCTAGCTTCATTGGCCAGGTGATGTATTTTTGGATTTATTTCCTATAAACTTACCAATTCAATAAGTAAGTTATTATTTACCTCTAATACACAAAGAACTTGTGAAATACATCAGTGTTTAGATTCTGGTCATTTAAAGATATAAATTTTTCCTCATGCTGTTACGTTGTTGGCTTTGTAACTCCACTTGTCCTTTGCATCAGTGAGACAATCATATGGGTAAAATTGGCATCTGGAGCAGTAGATAGTCACTGAATTTGTGTAGCATGCTATGTAAAATATTTGTAATTATAAATGCAAGTTATATGAGATTTAGCATAATAACCAGTTGAGAGCCATCTCCATGGCCTGGTGGCAGCTGTATCCCACATGGTCTACTGTGGTTTGAGTCCCAAACCTAGTGGCTTGACAAACACTCTGAGTACATGTGCATTCATGCCCAAAATTCCAAAAGGAGGGAGAGAGTAGAAGGAATTGAGACATGGCCATTCCCCATGGGCAAGACTTTCTCCTCTCCCCTCTTTGTCTCATTATCTCTATTGCTTTTGTTGTTGTTGTTCTAAGATTTTTGCCATAGGGCATGTGCACTTGCTGGAGAGACACAGAGAGAGATAGTGAGAGAGAAGGTGAGAAAATTACCCCCCAGGGAGTAATTGCCACACTGCAATTGCTTCTCCTGGGGTTTCAGACATGCATGCACATACACCCAGCAACCTATTGCTTTCGAATAAATATTAGCTTTTATATGATATTTGCATTAAATTAAACTGCTGATTTATATATGACCATATATATATATACCTAATATCACTTCAGTTAAATTTGTGATGTTTTCCTTGTGCATTTTATAAAAACGGAAAAGTGAAAAGATGTTATTTATATTTAAATTGATCTAGATGCTTTGAAAGTATTTACAAATGATTTTTATGTTGCTAATTTCCCTAGGAGAGACATCTTGACTCCTAATCTATAATATAGTAGTCTATCATTACAAATCAAACTACAAGCACACATGAACAGGACAGCCAGAACTAACACCCACATTTCCTAATTCATGTGTCCTCTGTTACTTACATAGTGAATTTAAGAACAAGATGTCCAGGCATCTCTTTTAGAGATTTCTAGGTTTTGGTTATCTAACCTTTTTCTTCATTGGCTTTTATGTACAGTTTTTCTGTCAATATTATATACTGAGTAGCTATTTAAAACAGATGAAAGATTTTAATTTTAGGCAATTTACATAATCACTATCACATTGCATTAGTTCCCTGTTTGGGATTTTTCATACTTTCTGCTTAGTTTCTCACTGAGCTAACTTTAAATATTCTACTGAACCATTATATATAATAACTTTGTTCATTCTGTTCTATGTGGTCAGTTGTGCCAGGAAAATTTGACTCTGTTTCAAGAATTAATTCATATGTGGGGACCAGCAGTTGCGTAATTGCTGTGTCACCGGACTCCCATGTAATCAACTGTGGTTCAAGTCCTGGATCCAGTGGCTTAATCTCATGCTGGGTGCATGTGCGTGCATGCCCAAGATCCTGAGAGTAGAATGGAGGAGAAGGGGTTACGGCATGGCCATTACCCCTGGAGGGTGATTTCTTGCTTTCTGTCTCTCTGTCTGTCTCTGTCTTTCTGGCGAGTGCACATACCCTATAGCAAAAAAAAGAAAAAAAAGAATTCATATAAACACTGTGAGATTATTTCTCTCTCTTTAAGTATCAGTCAGATTTTAAAATTCTTAATCTGGCAAGTTTGAGAAAGCAACCATTTCTTTGTAGTGCTTCAGCTTGATTTGACAAACTCTGAATATTTTTGTCTGTTTTTTCTATAGTTATTTCCTTGGGGGACCAATTGATATAAAGTAACTATTTGTTGATTTTTCTTTCATAAATTACTTTCCAAACTAGTTTCTTTTAATTGTTCTTTCTTTTCTCATAAATCAGGTGAAAGTAGGAACTTGAGGAAAAATTTCAGTTGCCTTTCTAATGATTTATCAGTTTGAGGGGTACTTGAAGGAATGAGAAAGGGGAAATATATTTTTGCTTTTAGGGGTCCTCCTACCCTGGAATTTCCATTCTTTGAAATCATGTGGTTAGAAGTGTTTCAATAGTATTGATAATATTTAGTTAATTGGTTGGATGGTGATCTGGGGTTTGTTTGTTTATTATTTGTTTTTCCTACTGTACTGTTACGTTCCACATATTTTATTTTGTCTTTTCTTTTACTCATATAGCCCCTGTATCTGTCCCCTATATCAAAGCACTTGAAGTATGGAAACACTTAATAAATATTTGTTGAATGGTTTCATAGTCAGAAGGATTACTTTCCAATAATATGGTATTGTGCCCATTCAACGTTAGACTTTTTAGGATTAAGAAGGCAGACTCTTTGTAACATTTAACCATAGTATACAGCAG